AGAATAGAATGCAAGAACGCTGAAAAGAGCTCCACACGTGACGTCGAGCCATGTAAAAAAAAAAATGAAACTCCCATGACCGACCTTCTATTAAGCTCGGCATTGTTCATATAATTCTTTACGTTCTTGTAGAGCAACAAGAGGTGTTATTTCATTCCTTATTACAAAAAAGCTAACATTTTTGGGGATCTCAACTGCTACATAATCCAATCTCCAGATTGTCCGGGAAGTACTACGCACAAATGGAAGAGTTAACGACTTGGGCTGAGGCTTGCCATTGCATTCTCCTGTATATTTATAGCTTACTGTTTTGTTGTTTGCTCCACAGAAAAGGATATGGGAAAATGTATTGAGTTATTCAATGAATAGTCAAAGTACATTTGCTTTATCCGAGAGAAACCGAACCTATCCGAAAACGGCTGCACTACGAAGTATTCCGAAAGCCGATTAACAAAAATATAGTAGTCCATCACCTTTTCTGTCATTCCTCATACCTTAAAGGAGTGTTTGTTAAAAATACGTTTCGACTAGCCACCAATGTGCCACAGAAAGGACCTGGTCTCGAAATTGGGACCTGGTCTCGAAATTGACTAGGCAAATAGCCATTTTGAACGTCTACTAAGCCGTTGTTTGTAGGTGTGCAGAAAAACCCAAACCCCAAACGAAAACACTAGCAATAATAAGGTCTCTTTTATTTTGCTCTCAATTTCCAACAAAATAACTGCGGCTATAAAATGTTGCTTAGAAAGGGCAGGTTTAGAGAATTCGATAACTGTGATTGAAATACCGCAAACACTCTCGAACTGCAGCTACTTCGTAGCCGACTGGACGTTCGTCTGTGCGCGAGGCAAAATTGCATATTCCCCAACGGTAGAGACGATGATTGCATGAGTCCGGGTACGACTTATTTGATCTCTTGTAGACGAATACGTTGGCGAAAATGGTAGGCCACTGTTCTTCTGTATAAAAAAACACCTAGGTAGGAAACTTAAAGTCAAGCAAAATGCTCCATTATGCGCGCATAGGTCACAGAGGCATAAAGGGGAAGATTTTGCAATAGAAGTTAACATCCTTGCACAGGAGTCGAAACCACCACGGCGTAAAACTGTCGAAGTATTCTGGATACAATCCAATAATTCGAAAACAAACCGTAGCGAGGAATGCCTCATAATCATGCTTGATATCGGACAATATTTGAGACTGTTATTTCACAACGGCGCCGAGATATTCGCAAAACTCCGGACCTCAGGTGTCTGTGATTACATTATAATTTCTACCACAGCGTCAATTTAAGTGGGTTCGGTGCCGATTTTTGTTACCCAGATCAATCCCGTTCACGGGTGATTGCTGATAGCGCCTATAAAGCACGGCTGAGAGGAAAACGAAAGAAATGGCACGCATGGTGTGGTGGAGAACGCGTTAGCCACCGGAAAGGGTAATATCGCGTTCGTTCCCTGCCGCAGACATTTGCGATCCGCTGTTTTGCAATTATCTCAGCAACGTTGTAGTTGTATTTCTCATTCTACTCTACCATGAAAAAAATGGACAGTATAAAAAAGTGATTACTCTTATTTTAATTCCAACGGTCAACTTTCTATTAACCTCGGAATTGATCAAATGATCTCGATATTCGTGTTAAGCAAACACGAGATATTACTTTATTCTTTATTCCGCTAAAGCTGACGCTTCGGCAGTATCACCTTCTGCAGAGCCTGGGAGGATATGTTAACATGAAATACCACGCCAAACGCTTTAGTAACACAAACTGAGCGATGGAAATCTGAGTGGCAATGAGACGATCAACAGATTCTCAAAAAACCTACCGTTTTCACATGCCCTCCACCGATGACAAGCAGCTGATTAGAGTTCCACATGGTCGATGACTGCACCACCGTACATCAGAAATTGATGCAAAGAGTTAGATCACGTGTGATCATTGGGTGTTCGCCTTTACTATTCATTGTAGTATTCATAGGAATTCCCCTAAGCCTTAAGTTTGCGCGTTGGTGTTTTGGCGTTCTGTGCGAGGGCATTGACTCCGCTGTGCTTTTTTATCCTGTGCGTGACTAGTGGGGTACTTTGTTTTGCTTTTCGTTTGCCATCTAAATGTTCTTTTATAAGGATACATAATGCTGTACCCGTTTCGCCACTATATTTATCTCCAAAAGTATTACAAGGGATCAGATATACCGTAAATGTACTCATGCAGCCACCGTATCTGCAGCAAGGGCAAACTTCGCAATTATGCGTTCGAGCTAGACGGTCATAAAGGCGGTTATGAACTAACTGACGACGAAGAGTAACCGGTGGTATTACAATCATCGCTACCGATTCCCTCTATTCCTGCCTATATTAAGCACTGCTTTATAGCTATACTTGCTCCATCACTAATAAAGGGCAACATAAACGGAATTTTCTTTTGGCCAAGTGTTTCGCGTGGGCGCGTCGCTCTCTTTCTAAACTTATATCGTGGGGTTACAATTTCATAGCCAATGGAGATGGCTGTTTGCTGAGTCAAGTTGCGCAATTCCTCCTTCAGTTCCCCATTTGCGCACACAGAGATGGCTGTTCGAAACATGTTTCTCACAATCTCTTTGTGCGTGAAGGGTAGGAAAAAAAGGAAATGAACGAGGATGTTCTTGTTACTTGGTTTTCGGTACCTTGTCATGCAACCGCTGCTTGATAAGTTGATTTGAACGTTAACAAATGGAAGCCATTTTTCTTTCGGTTTCTCATTGGTGAATTTAATGTCCTCGGACTACTCATTCAATAATTCAAAGCATTTGTCCATCTCCACCTGAGTAGAGAATATGACAAAACAATGGACGAACATTTTCGTACACTTGTAAGGTAGAGATGAACTTTCTATGGCGGTAGTGATAAATGTTTTTGAAAACATCGTCCGAAAACATGCGGAATTTATTACCAACTTCGACGTTAGGATCCTGGTGTCTAATGAACGCTCTTGGAATTGGAGATAGTGGTAATCTCGCTACTTCTTGACTTTCATTTTTATTCGGTATTTCTGTATTCGATTTATCGACCGTTGTTTTAATGTGAGGCGCACATTATGCTTCCATGTGAACCGTGTGCGGTTTGTTTCCACCTCACGTGCCCAGGACTCATAGAAATCGTTGACTGTTCCAAAAAGCTGTTCTTTGCTAATGTAATTGAAATCCTGGCTTAGCAGTTTCTCTATTTGCTATGGAGGTGTTTGGCTAAGTAGGTTCCAGTCAACTTCATCTTTCCAATCTACGAGGAAGGCGAAATCTGCCCAAACATCAGTGTTTTTGTAATAAAGGATTAAAAAAAACACCTTGTGCTTGCTCAACAAGAACGTAAAGAAAAAAGACGCCTTTTGCAAACATCAAGAATATTGAGATATGAGCAAAACTCCACTTATTAGTTAGGCTTCGAATCCACGAAGACGCTTACCGGAGGCCATATGCTATCCACCATACCAAAAGCTAGCTCTTTGCACTGCCTTTCTCCTAGCAGCCAGCTTCTTACCTCGACGGTGAGCAGATGTGCCGCAGGAAGGTGTTATTGCAGGTTCGAAGCTAAACTGAAGTTTGCAGTTTTCCTCATATCTAGGTATCCTTGTGGTTGTATTTCATATAATAACTTGTCATGAGAAAAAAAGAATGGGCAGTAAATAAAACCTGAACAGTGTTCCACAAATCGTTCGTCTATGAACACCCACGATCAATGATTTTAATCTGATTACAAGTATCTGATGGTAGCACTCAAAATAATGTAGTTCCGGTTATAGTTTTATCCGATGATAGCATCGATTTTCTGTGTTTCCGCTTACCAGAATAACAGTAGCGATCTCATCTTTCACATACGAGCTCATCAATAGCACTAAATCCATCTAAAGCTTAGAGATTTCTGGTGCAGTCCTAACGGATATGACTCGTTGGTTTTTAAATTAAGTAGCAACTTTATACCTTTTTATTTTCTGCCTAGTATAAATTCGCGGCAGGGTACTAAGCGAAATACAACCACAACGTTGATGAGATATTTGCAAAACTCTGGACCGCAGGTGTAACCTCATAATTTCGTTTTTTTTGCAAAAAGAAATAGCTGAGAGACAGGCGAAACGAAGGACCCGCATGGTGTGGTGGTGAACGCGTCACTCCCCGGAAAGGACAATAGCGCGTTCGTTCCCCACCATAGACACCTGCAGTCCAGAGTTTTGCAAATATCTCAGCAACGTTGTGGTTGTATTTCGCTTAGTACCCTGCCGCGAAATTATAGTAGGCAGAAAATGAAAAGGTATAACATTGTGATTTCAACTACAGCTGCAGCTTAACTGGGTTCTATGCCGATTTGGGCGCCCCAGATCAATCCCGCTGACGGGTGATTGCTGTGGCAAAGATCGATAGAAATAGTTGAGAGACGGGAGAAACGAAGGACCCGCATGGTGTGGTGGTGAACGCGTCACTCCCCGGAAAAGACAATAGCGCGTTCGTTCTCCACCATAGACACCTGCAGTCCAGAGTTTTGCAAATATCTCAGCAACGTTAAAGTAGCAACTGTTGATCTAATTTCTGAATTTGGAGATCAGCAAGCCAAATTTAAAACTGTGTGCCCCAGTCTTTCTATGTCAGCAAGTTTTCTCGATGTGTTTGGTCTCTAGTCGATTAACAGCGAAGGTACCTTTTTGCAGGCTTTAGGCAGAGAATATCAATTGAACTAGGATGATTATTGATTATATATTGAAAAGCGGCAAAGTAATGCAGGGATAGATAATAGTCAATGATTTCGACTTTATGTGTACCCAAGATACGGAATTGGAACAAAAAAAATCAACTAATCATAACTCTATATGCGTTTAAGGACTAACACTTCAGCTAATCTTTCCTTCTATTAAATCAGAGTTATAGCGAGTTTATGCCTTATTTTTTATTTTCCGTTTATATAAGTGGGAAATTTTTCGTTATTTGTTTCTTAATGTGTGGTTATTAGTACAGACTGATTGTTGACGGAATTGTTTAATGCGTCGCTGCAGGACGTCGTCCGCAAAGACAGGGCTCGTTTTGGGAATTGCAGGTGAACGTTGAAACGATTCTGGTTTTAGATAACCTTTTTCATTTATAGATGTTTCTACGTGTGAATCACACTATATTCACATAACAGTAAAGCTCACTAAAGTGTATTCAAAGTTTTAACTCTTTTATTTACTGCCTTTTTCTTCTTAATGGCAGGTTATGTTGCGAAATATAACTCGTATGAAATGCTGAGATATTTGCAAAACTCCGGACCACAGCGCAATGGAAAACGAACACGCGCTGTTGTCCTTACCGGGGAGCAGCGCACTTCACCACTACACCATCCGGGTCCTTCGCTTTGCGTGTATCTCAGCTAGTTCTATCGATCTTTTTTGCCATCAGCAATCACCCGTCAACGGGGTTGATCTGGGGAGCCAATGTCGGCATTGAACCCAGTTAAGCTGAGGCTTAGTTATAATCACAATCTTAGCGAACCGAAGGACCCGGATGGTGTAGTGGTGAAGTGCGCTGCTCCCCGGTAAGGACAACAGCGCGTGTTCGTTCTCCATGGCGCTGTGGTCCGGAGTTTTGCAAATATCTCAGCATTTCATGCGAGTTGTATTCAAAGTGTAAAATACCACTTTTTCTTCGAAATGAAGAAAGCCGTAAGACAGGTGTTCATGGAATTTCAGTCTATCACAGCGTCATGTGATCACGTAGGAGATTTGGCACTGAAGGCGTTATTATCTCAGCAAAATTATTTACAGCAGTGAATACCAAAATGCGATAATATAGAGGTAAAAAGGTGGTTATCAGCAGCTAAATCGTATTTCTCATTCCCATGCAGTGAATATGTGTAACAACGCCAAGGATTATTCAAAATGAAATGAAGGCGGCCAATAATTGCGGCAGCGTTTGTCAAGAAACTCGTCTTCTGTTGAGTCTTTGACTCATTCAAATTTGGAGCATGTGAAAAGCGAGAATCAACAAGACGAATATGTGATAAGCGAACTCTAGGTTTCAACCGGTTGGAAACGTTCTTCACGAAAACGCATTTGCCTCGTCCTATTCATCCTCAACGGAATGAATACCTTTCGCTATGTGTGTATCGGTTCGTGAAGCAACCGTATTTAATAATGACTCCGATGGCTGTACAGGCTTTAACTGTCAACCCATCTACAAAATCGAGCAAAAGGAAACCAACCTCTTTAAGAGTTTAGAAGACTGCTGAACATTTTCTTTGTATTTTTGTTGAGCAAATGCGAGGTGTTACTATTCTTTGTTCACGATTAAGCTGACGTTTCGGCAGATTTCGCCTTCTTCAGAGCCGCTTTCTATGAGGTTTCCACTAAGTATGTCACGTAGAGACCAACCGCACAGAAATCACGTGGAAGTATAATGTAGAAAGAAAAGCATAGAAAGCGGCTCTGAAGAAGGCGAAATCCGCCGAAACGTCAGCTTAATCGTGAACAAAGAATAGTAACACCTCGCGTTTGCTCAACAAAAATACGAAGAAAATCACTTGATCAATGCCGAGGTTAATGGAAAGTCGGTCGTGGCAACTACTGTAGATATAGTGAAGAATGCAAGGGACACTTGGTACTTCGTCCATCTTTTCTACTCTATGGTTCCTGCTTTCATAACGTAGACATGGGCTAGCCGCATGTCACTAAGCCGTGTTAGAGATCAAGTAGCGTTCTTGTACACGTTGTGGGAAGAGTGTTGTTAAGAGTATCACCTTTTGGCGAAAGAAGATGAAAAATTCCGATGTTTGCACAAGCGTTTAACTGCCAAGAATCGGAAACACTACAGGATAAGTAAAGAGTAATGTGGATCAGGTATGTGGTAGTTCTTAGGGACATCGTCGACGGGAATGCAAAATGGATCATGCCTAGACGTCCTCTATGCCCCTAAATCCGTCGCGCTGGCTTTCGGCTTTTTGATGCGTTAATTTCTTCTAAAACTGTTCTTTTCTCAGCTTTGTTCAGCTTGAAACTTGCTTGAGGACATTACGCAGATTTCCTTAAGTCAACGTTTCCAAGCAATGGCTGTTGGAAAGCCTCTGGAAAGATTTTTTTTTGACAAAGTTTCACAAAAACGATACTCATGAGGAGAGGACTGGTTTCGTACTCCTCGTGGAGGTTTAGCGAAATAGACATTTTCGAATCCCAGTTGCAGTTACGTCTACCTAGGTGGGATAACACACATCATGAACGACTTAGCTCCAGCAACGAGCAGGATAAAACAAGCGCCCAGGAAAGCTTTTGAGAGGATTGAGGATGTAGTGAAGAAAACAAAAAACACTCAACTCCATGCCTACCTCTTTGACTGTACGATTCTTTCTGTCCTAACATATGTGTCAGAAGCCTGGTTGCTACGCAAGCAGGATGAAAGATCACTCAGCGTTATCGAACGTGCAGTCGAAAGGGCGATGCTAGAAGTATCACGAATCAAGCATGTAAGATAGGAGATTCGAAGTTCCAAAATACGCCAACGATCATATCAGAGAAGCGATTGTGTTTGACAGGATATCGAAAATCAGTTGGAGGAAGACGTGAAGTGCGGGAAAGGTAACCGATGGACAAGAGCTGTTAGCGAGTTGATCCCGTATGCTCCAGGTATTCATGTACGCGCTATGGGATATGATGGTAACAAGACTGCGAAGAAAATGTTGTACTGCTACAGTAAAGTTACGAAAGAAGTCGGCAAAGCTTCCTATATGTGACGAGTCTATTGTTCCTATAGAAAACGCTTGATAACGTTGTGATCCTGCTAGATGAAGAAGCGCCCTATTGCACTTCACCTAGCCACCTGGTACACCTAGCTACACCACCAGCTGCGATGAAGAGATGAATCATAGGGAGAGATAACCTGAAGAGGTTAATTTTATTGCAAGAGTATCTATATCAAATATGTTATCATCGCCTGCTTTTTAGGTTTTGTTATAATATTGAATGTTACGAAATGGCATCCAAAGAGCGAGAAGCTAAGCAAATCTCTGGAACACAGCATGAATTTCTTCAATCATTCGACGTCATACAAATATATCATTATGCCCGATCTTTCTCTATGCGATGGCTCACGGCAAAAGTGAGTTCGAACAATCGCTTTTATGGCTGTTGACAATCTCCGCCTCCGCCTTCATTCTGAACTCAGACTATTTCTTGACATATCTGTGAAGAAAAAATCCTTCCAACCGAATGCTCAGGAAAATTCGTTCATATTTTTCGTCGCGCTTATAGAAGTTTTCTTTGCATTATTTGTTATTCCGACTCTCTATTTTATTATTTAGTACTCCTTTAATAGTGGCCACTGTACTTTCAAGGGTCGACCGCTTCGAAAATCGACAAGCAATCCGAGATAGTTGGGCTTCTGCTCAATATTCCTTATCTATTAAGGTTAGCAAATTGTTTCGTTGAAACTTTTCTTGAAAACTGTGATCACATCTATACAATCAAGTAAAAAACTTTTCATTAAATGCACTAAGGGATCAGTAGAAAGAGTAAAAAGCGACACAAGTAGGAAAGCCACTGTGGACACTGATCCTTAAAATATTCTCGTTCACCTGTATTGGTTTGAATGCATACGCACAGTTTCACGTTTAAAGACATCTTGCCTCGCATGATGCTTGCTTGCACACTTGGATGGCCCGTCTTCAATGCCTGTGCGAGCTCCAACATAATTTCCATTCATTTCTTTTAGCGCAATCGTCGCCGACAGTGGTGGTCTGCTTCGAACATGGTGACGTTCGTGAAGTCCCGAAATCCTTCCCATCTACGAATATAGGAAGGCTCACGTCAGCCACGAACATGTCCATCTATTGCTTCGGTGGTCGTCCAAGGAGGGCCCTCGCATTATCCTGGAACCACCGTTGTCCTTTTCGTCCATTGTTACCTTTCCTTCTTGTTATGTGATCAGCCTCTCTATCTGTTTCAATGTAATGCATCTCGAAGATTGAATACCTTTCAAAGATTTGAGCTGGGCATGGCGTTGTGAGTGCCGGTTTAATTTCAGAAGACATCGTTTAATGGCGCTGTAGCTGGCGTGCAGATTTCTCGACGTGGCTGAACTATCAGCCTACTTCGCTACTGCGTAATAGAGCCCTGGGAGTACTGTGACAAAGTAAAGGTGAACACGAAGTTTAAGCACCGTTAATTGGGCAGCGGCTTCTTTGGAAGGCCCAAATGCGGCCCATGCTGCTCTCCTTCATCTATCTAAGCCCTCCTCCATGCTGTTCTCCGTGTTCATTGATCGACCGAGGTATACAAGGTGGTCTCTGCAATCAGAAAACCATCCAGTTTGATGTGATCGTCTTCGCACGATGGGTTTTCCTGAATTGGATCTTTTTCCGATTTATACGTAATGCTATTTTTTGACCACTTGATCAAGCTCGTTAATCATCGTCTCTGTTTCGCGTCTTTTTGAGAAGGTGACGATGTCATGCGCAGAAAGAAGAATTGATAGGAATTTTCCATCAATACGTATGCCTTTCTCATCACAATCGAATGACTTCATTATCCCCGGCAGTGCTGCAGCAAACAACCTTAGCGATATTGTGTCGCCCTGTCAAACATCTTTTCCTGTGGGTATGGTTAGGGGTCTATGAAAAACGGTATTTTGTGTTAAAGTTGTAGTAAAATTCGGGTAAAGTTCTTATCTAGGACGCATCTAGTCGTGGTCGATCAGTGCTCATAGCATTTCATTCATTTAGATAAAATTAAACGTTTTTTGATGGTTGTCGAAAGCCTGATTATAGGCAGGTGGTATTGCCGACAAACTTTTATGACGGTGGAGACAATTTGGATGTGGTCTATCCTGAGAATCTTTGTCGAAATGCTCCTTGATCAGCTGATTGTGTTCCAGCCAATGACTTGTACGAAATAATTTCGCTGTACGAAATAAGATAATCTTCGTGAATAAATTGTGAAGACGGAACAAGTATATTGGAGGATACAAGATGTTAAGTAGGTTACGAGAAGCACGTGTATTTAAAAAAACTACAAAGGCCAAAAGCCAAAAGGCCGAAAAGCGGCTACATTACGAAGTCGTACCGAAAGCTAAGTAGTAAAGACATCTTGGTTTATTACCTTTCCTCTCATCGCTCTCACACAAAAAGGCGTTTGTAAGAAGCATGTTTCGAACAGCAGCCAACGTCTGCACAGGAAGAGAGCAGGGAGAGGAGTCGCGGAACTTGGCGCGGCAAATAACCATTTTTAATGACTACGAAACTGTAACCCGATAGGTGTAAAAAATCCTAAGGTTCCAAACGACAACTCTAGCGATAAAAAGGTCTCGTTTATCCTACCATTCATTTCAAATGATGTAAGTGCAGCTATAAAGCGCTGCTTAAGAAGGGCGGGTCTAGAGAATCCGGTAAACGTAGTTGACATGCCACCGACTACCCTTACGCAGCAGCTAGTTCGTAACCGCCTATATGACCATCCATGTGCAAAGCAAAAATTGCATAATTTGCCTCAATGGTAAAGACGGTGATTGCATGAGTTCGGGTACAGTTTATCTGATTTCCTGTAAGGCGTGCGGAGACGAATACATTGGCGAGACGGTGAGGCCCCTCTGTGTTAGCACAAAAGAACATCTAGTTGGTAAACTTAAACCGAATACCCAACTAGGCAAACACAGGACGGAAAGACATAACAAGGAGGACTTTGAAGTACGGGTCATGATCCTTGCACAGGAATCGAGAACACAAGCGCGCAAAACTCTCGAGGCGTTCTGGATTTATTCCAAAAATCCGAAAATGAATCGCAGGGAAGAATGCCTCATTATCAAGCGTAATATTGGGCAGCATATAAGCCTGTTATTCTGAAGGGATAGGCACGTTACGCTTCCATGTGAATTTTGTGCGGTTGGTCTCCACGCGACATACTCAGTGGAAGACTCATAGAAAGCGCTGAGTGTGCAAAGAAGCTACTCTGTGTTCAATGTGATTGAAATATTCGTTTAGCGTTTTCTCTGTTTGGTTATGGAGTGTTTGGCCGCGTAGATTGCTGTCAACTTGGCCTTTCTAGGCTCTGAGAAGGGCGAAATCCGCCGAAGGGTCAGCTTGTTCCTGAATAAAGAATAAAATAGCACCTTGCGTCCACTCAACAAGAATATAAAGAATTACATGTATTTAGTTCGTGGTCTTCAGCTCTAAGGAAATCGCCTATTATATTATCAAGCTCTGGAATTGTCCCTCTCTTTAAACTTTATGTTGTAACTTTAATTCCGAGAGACGTGTTACGCAGCGAGGAATTTGGTATAGAACTTCTTCATTATCAATTCATAACATGGCGGAATGCAGTGGTGGATCCATCTTCGTTCATCACGACGGATAGAGGAATATTATACTCGCAAAGACTCCAACACTTCTTCAGACTAGATTGTTTTTGAGCTGGTTCCAATAACTTTTTCTGCGTGTATTGATGGGCACGTGTGGCGCAGTGGTCGGAGGCGCCATGTAACACACATGTGGAATCGATGTCGGCGCCCATGGCCCACCAAGCCTTACATTCTTCCGGGGTCGGCAAATTAGTACCAGACTTGTCTGGGAGGATATCAACACTGGCTCGATACATCGGCAGACCACCGCGAGTCATTGTAGAGGCCAGATTTGGATTCAATCACTTCCAAACGACGCTCAATAAAGTCGAATGAATGGCGCATCTCCAGGGATTGATCACCGCCGAGAGCTTCATCTTTTATTGATGCAAATGCTCTTGTAAATATTTTCTATGGCTGGCATTTCTTATCAGCTGTGTTAGATGCTCTGCAGTAGGATCAAGCTTCCGTTCCCTTCTCTTTTCGATCAACTCTTTATAACGAACTCGAACTGAACTTAATATAAATGAGCGTACGAAATCTTTTGCTGCTAGGGAAAGAAATGAAATAGTGTTCAGCCACTTCTTTCATTATCTTTTTTAATGGCTTCATTTTTGCTTCATTGAGTCGAAATCTGATTGATAATCACGAATATTTCAGACCGGTCGTGTAGTGACGTATTTTCTTCTTTCGGAACCAAATTCGATTCACGACTTTTTAATGGTGCGAAAGGAACAAAAGAAACATAACGATTTGATCGTGACTAGTTTAACCGAGTCCTACCAGAACCTTGTCTACAAGGTGAGCGACTACCAGTAAGGCTTTGTGTTCTTATCATTCACTTTTCTGAAGAATTAAACCTATAAGGCGATTGAAGTTGACAAATCCCTAAAGGATGAGCTATACGCTAACGAATGCATATTTGTGTTATGCAACGAAGTGTGCAGACTTGTCGATTAGTCTAGTCCATGTTTTTGTCCTCCTGGACAATTCCAGTACTTTTGCCTAAACTATGCGCGAGAAATGCTCGGTTTGGCCGGTACTAGAGATCGATCTAACTACCGATACGTGTGTATTGTAGGGCATTTTCAACCATTTCATCTCTTCAATCTCACATATACATATAAGAAAAAAGAATGAGAAACTGCCCTGTTACTGATGCTTGGCATAATTAATCATGAAATGGGAAGGCTGGCAGCCTGTGTTGAGAATGATTACGTTGACCGACGACGAATCAGTTTCAGGTGTACGCCTCTATAGTGTTTCATCAACAGTACTGCCCACAGACGTCGTTCTTGATAAAGATCGACGACGACGTTGGCATACATATCGATCGAATGCTTAATTTGTGGAATATTGACAAAAATGCGAGTATGTCGTTGTATGGTCATCTAATAGAGAACGTTTTACCGATACGCGATCCGAACAGCAAATGGTGAGTTGAGATGACCACGTAGTTGAATGTCAACATGCAAAAATGCACATGGAAGAAATCTTACGGAATCAGGGTTCATTCAGCCACTAAAGAATTATTAGAAAAATAGAAATAGTAGACAAAAGATTGGCAAATTGCCTCCTTCTGTCTGGTCATAAAAATTGTTTTCAACAATTTCTGGTCAGCAGCCCGCATCTTTTTTAATTCAAGCACAAAACATCATGAGAATTATGCCTGAAATTTGTCATAGGTTTGTATCAGAGCATGTGTGGCCGAACCAACACTTCCCAACGTATTGTGCTGGTTCCACTTATTTGATGGGAAGATCGGCTGGACGAGCTATTCTTGATGAAGCAAAAAACTTTCCACCATTTGAGATTGAGGTATGGAAAGAAGAAGACTGCTCATTGAAGAACTGTAAGAAATTCAAAGCGTAGTAGCCCCAAGAAAAAAATTGTTTGCTCATTTGTTCCGACCGAGTAGCATTATGCATTGCTGAACTATGTTGTACACGAGGATTCGTTCCTGCTTCCCATTCTCCTATTGGGGTCGCCTTTGGTATGAAGGAGTTTTGCACTTTTTATCGAGAACTTCGGCATCGAATAAACCAGTGCCATAAGTTGCCATAAGTGCCCTTCTTGAAGATCGGCTCATATGGCAAACATCCGTTGTGCTAACCTTTTATTTCCTCCCTGTTATAGTTATCACGGCAGGGTGTGATTTGAGATTCAACCACAATGATGCCGAGGTATTCGCAAAACTTGGACCTCAGACAAGACCGAACCACGATTTCCCTTTCCAGAGACACACGCATTACACACTGCATCGCGGAATTCGTTGTTCCGCGTTTCTCTCAGCTCATTTTCTGTCTAGGTGATTACTGATGGCAGCGCTAGGTAGAAAACCAGCTGAGAGAAACGCAGATCAAGGGCATACGTGGTGCAGTGTGTGATGCGTGAGCCCCTGGAAAGGTAAATCGTGGTTCGATCTTGTCCAAAGTCCAAGTTTTGTGAATATCCCAGTATCATTGTGGTTGAAACATCTGTTCCATGGTTGACCCGCCTGGTCAATAGAAATTTAACTCAGTGTTACTTTACATTGTTTCTCCTTCCCTGTACCTTCTCATTACTTATTTGCCATGAATCAATGATGCCAATATTTCATTCAGCTTTTAGTTTAACCAGCCATAAATTCTAATTAGTACTTTTGCCATTAACCTCGGTATAGTTAAGGAACAGCTTGAGCTTTAATACCTTCTGAATTCAACCTTAGAAAGTAAATAAATTTTCTTCTTCATAGGATTTGTTCTACACTGGTATATTGGCCGAGTCTGCCGGAATACGAAGAATCAACTGGGCAACACATTTGGTTTTTCAACCGACAGTAAGCCAAATTTTAGTTATTTTCTTCCAAATCTTTCTTTATAAGTATCTTCAAATGATGTAAAATCACTTGTTCATCTAATCTAGCTTAAATACACTCTCAGCTTACAGTTACCTTAGTTACCAGTTAGTACAGCTTACCTTTACTTAAAATTAGTACTGTATGAAAGGTGAGCAATTTCTAGGAATTCTTCAATGGGTCCTTCAAGTGTAATGCATCGCAGAAGCCAACATTGTTCGCTGTGCACGCACTTGAAACTCCAGATGAGATGCGTAGGGGCTGTCGAATACTGGAAACCGATCAATGTCGTTATCCAGAGTGATCTTAAGCCGACGTAACGAACTCGACCATCCAACAGTATTCGTGAATTCTTTTTCTTCCCGACGAGAATCAGAATGTCATAAATTTCTTTTCAAGGATGTTGCACTAACGTGGAAATGATATCCTGAGTTAGTGATATAAATTAACACCTCACTGGTATTTTGTTCACTTATGAAAAACGTTCTGAAAGCAAAATCAAGAAGAAAATGTGGCTCTCGAGGTCAACTTTATCATTATTTTATATTTTATATGGTCCGTCTTCACCTCTACTATACGGATCCCAGCGCTTCCTACATTCGATTGGTTTCCTCGTATCCATTGTCCATGAAGAACGTCCAACTTTTTACGTGTGGCTTCGGTTGCTGCTTCGAACTTGAGGTCAACTTCGTTGATAAACTAAAAGGCTTGTGTGCAAGAAACTCAACAGATTATGAACAACCTGTGTTTTAACGCTTCCCGTAGTTATCATCCTATCAATACAAAAGTGGAGAGGTAAACGCAAAGCGTTCATATATTATTAACTTCTCATTTGAACTGTATTTCCGCAGCACATTATCTTATGTTGGTACTATCAACGTGAAAAGTGGAAAATTTCTGAGATACTTGCAAAACTCCGGACCGCAGGTGTCTGCGGTGGGGAACGAACGCGCTGTTACCTTTTCCGGCTGCTAACGCGTTCACCACCACACCATGCGGGTCCTTCGCTCCGCTTGTCTCTCAGCTAGTTCTATCGGTCATTGCCATCAGCAATCACTTATCAACAGGATTGATATGGAGAGCTCAAATCGGCAATGATCCCAGCTAAGTTGAGGCCTTAGTCGAAACATCACACGTAATACCCTGCCATGAAAAATTATAATAGACAATAAATAAAAAGTTAACATTGTGATTTCGACTGCAGACTCAGCTTAGCTGGGTTCATTGCCGATTTGGACTCCTCAGATCAATCTTGTTGGTGGGTAATTGCTGTTGGCACTGATGGATAGAGCTAGGTGAGAGACAGGCGAAACGAAAGACCTGCATGGTGTGGTGGTGAACGCGTTCGTTCCTCACCGCAGACACCTACGGTCTGGAGTTTTGCAAATATCTTAACATCACTGTAGTTGTACCATTTCATAGCTGTTCTTCTGCAAAGAGTTGTACTAGTTGTTGAGTGCGATTGGTTTTAATCTTAAAGGTAGCCATGACGAATACAACAGCAGAGAAAGAAAAAAAAAGACAAAACCAAATTATCTTTTCAGTCGGGCTCATAAATCCATGTAGTGGCCTTAAGCAACTCATGTATTCCTTCTTTATTTTACTTTACCAGATCAGCTTTCGCATCTACTATTAATAATCACAACACTTCTCGCATTTGATCCGTTTCTTCTCAGTCACTATCCAAAAAGGTTTTTTCAACACCTTTCTTGTAGTTTTCGCTGTTGTTCAAATAGCTTTCATTCGGCACAAGTGTCGTTGAATACTGGGCGGTTCTACAGTGGACTCCTGAGACTGCAGGGCTACGGCGTTCCAATTTGGATTACATCGCCTATATATCGCTCCGTTGATCGTCGAGTGAATCGAGTGGGCGTCAATAAATCTTCTATTTCTCGCTGTCCATGTGCGAGTGGAGCAGTGGGTTCTGCTCTCTAGAGACTGGCTCAGCATCAAACTTGCTGTCTAAGATTTTCGTTAAAAACTCTGACCATCTGGTCTGTAGTATTCCTGCGGTATGTTCGTTATCACGAGGAGTCCAGTTGCTAATCGCTTTTGTTCTTCGGCAGTAATTGAGATGAGTTACGTGTACGGCCCACCTCATTCTGACAGTTTGCCTTACAGAACAGCATCTTTAATTTTTGATGGTTGAAATGGATTGGAGCTTCGGATCTTTCCTCTCATTTGTGTGACGCAGAAGGCCCCAAGCATCATCCATTCGGCTGCGCGTTCAATAAAGTTGAATGATCTTTTATCCTGCTTACGTGGCGATCAGGTTTCTGGCGCCTATATTAAAGTAGAATGATTCGTGGAGAAACGATGAGCACGAAATCGGTTCTTTTTTTCTGTTCCCTACATCTCTGATGCTCTCAAACGCTCCCCAAACCGCTGGCTTTCTCCTGCTCAACTCCGGAGCTCAACCGTTCATTATGATGATTTCCTGACCTAGATAGACGTAACGAGAGCATTCGGAGATATTCATTCCTTTGAGCGTGAATGGTTCACACTAAATCAGTGCGTTTCTCAATATTCTCGTTTTTCGTGAGATTTAGTCGAAGACCACTCTTTCTACCAGCGCAATCAAAGTCGGCAAACATTCGTTTCGCTTGGCTAATACTTGGTGTTAAAAAGACGATGTCATCAGCAAAGTGAAAATGGTGTAATTGCCGACCACCGATCTTCACTCTCACGTTATGCTTTTCAAATGTTCGCATGACATTTTCGAGGATGGCGAAATGGTGCCGCCTTGTCTAACCACTCTCTTGACATCAGTGTTAACATCGTTGTAGAGTGGTAACATTTTGGTTAAGGTCCCGCCGATCGTGCCTTTAATTTCGAACAGAATCAATGCAACTATAAAACGTTGCTTAAGACCGCTCTGAAAAATTCACTATCAGTGGGTGATGTACTACCAAGCACTCTAAGATGCCAGTTTGGCATTGGATACAAAGGCAGAACGATTGAGATTGTGAAGTAGAAATTACCATCCTTGCACAGTAGTAGAAAACTCTGGAAGAATTATGGATGAGCGCCAGGAATTCAAAAATGAACCACAAGCAGGAATACCTGGTTATTGAACGTGATCTCATGCTGTATTTAAGGCTAGTGTTTTAATGTAAGAGTGGCGCATCACCCAACCACATAAACTCTGTGCGGTTCGTTTCTGTATGAAATCCTCAGTGAAATACACATAGAAAGTAGAGAGTATGCGAAAAAGCTACTTTGTTCTAATCTGATTGAAGTCTCGTTTTAGTCAATCGTTTTACTTACTGCCTACCAGAATTTTTCACGTCAACGTATTATGTGAAATACAACTACGATGATGCTGAGTTGTGTGAGAAGCTTTGGATTGCAAATTTCTAAGGTGGAAAACGAACGCGCTATTACCGCATCAGGGAGCTAACGCGCACGCCACTACACCATCCGTATCCTACAATTCCGTGTTTTCTAGGTGCCATCAACAGTCACTCGTCAACGGGATTGATCTGGAAAACATAGATTTTGGTTTAGCACTTTTTCTCAGGCCGCAGTCAACTTGACCTTTCAAGGCTCTCAAGGAAGCAAAATTCAGCGAAATAAAAAAAATATAAAAAAATAAAAATAAAAAACCGAAGTTTTCCGTCAATGGAAAGTAACACTCGTGCTTACTCTTCAAGAATATAGTGTATTAGTGTACTAGGTAAAAAGAAACTGTAATTTTCTTCGTATTTTTGTTGAGCAAACGCGAGGTATTATTATTCTTTGCTCACGATTAAGCTGAGGTTTCGGCGGATTTCGCCTTCCTCAGAGCCGCTTCCTATCAGGCTTCCACTAAGTATGTCACGTAGAGACCAACCGCACAGAAATCACATAGAAGTATAATGTGTAACACACACATTATACTGTACACAACACTAACTAACTATTACTGTTACTTACATTACTTAACATTACTTACTAATTACTGTTCACATTACTGTACATTACTGTACTGTGTACACATTATACTTCCATGTGATTTTTGTGCGGTTGGTCTCTACGTGACATACTTAGTGGAAACCTCATAGGAAGCGGCTCTGAGGAAGGCGAAATCCGCCGAAACATCAGCTTAATCGTGAACAAAGAATAATAACACCTCGCGTTTGCTCAACAAAAATGCGAAGAAAATTACTTGATCAATGCCGAGGTTAATAGAAGTTACTTAGTCGTGGCAGTTACTGCAAAAGAAACTGTACTCAGCTAACGCTTTTGCCCGTATAAAGCGTACGACTGCCATGCCTAAAAGGGCACTACGAAGTGAGACCACTTCATTCGAGCGGAGCTTCAGTGAATTCGATTTAAAGTCATCGCGAAAAACTCACATCGGAAGAAGGAAGGAGTGTGGACAACCGATTCGAGTCAAACCAGCTCTGAAAAATACGAAGACGTCGAAAGGTTAGTCGAATAGACCTTTTTTGTCAACCTCGTCTTACGTCAATAATCGATGAAGGAATTGATAAACTTTGCCAAAGTTTAATGGAAGTAGGTTTTAAGATACAAATAGTCGGAAGTTCAATAGAGTAGATCTCAGCAACGTTTTTATTCATCCCTCTTGGATGTTATATATTACCAATACCGTTATCTATTTCTCCAGGAACACGAAAAGAATCACAGTTTTTATTAGAAGCTCGGCCGGTTAAACTCTTTTACAGATATGCAGAATAACACCTTTGATCATGCTCAGAGATGTAGAGGAGGATACCTCGTCGAGCTCTTCTCGACTAGACCAAAGGCTTATTTGTTGGAAATAAAATCCAACCACCTTCCAAGTCTTTTTACTTTCCAAGCCACTGGATTGCGATCTTTTGACCTAAAGTAGTGTGTAGACGCCAATCAACACGAGTGCAACGACTTCATGAGCTTACACATGTGAGCGTTTGCATACTTAAGAGAATGCTGACAAAATAGGAGACCCCAAGTGGCGAGTATGTCTGTGTGGTACAAGATAAAAATATAGGATTCCAGTCTCAGTCCACAGTGGGAGCATGGTTGTCTGAAAATTGTCTAACCCTAAAGAATTAGAAAGATGGTTAGGGATGAATCCAATCAAATTAGCTTACATCTGAAAACATAAGATCTATACCGAATGCTGATCAGATCTGGCAACTGCACATTAAATTGTAGAAGTCATCGATTATGCTAACTCGAAGCTGGGTAGCTAACTGTTAAAGATCCGACTTTTGTTGCATCACCGTCAGTGTGTTCCATTTTTCTAAAATAGAAAGACATGCACAGTGGTGAGATGCAACTCTAAAAAAATTATTCCAATAAGTTGTTTTTTAGAAATATCTCTGCTTTTAAACAAATCTAGTAAGAACTAAACCCGCATTTTATCCACGCAAAAGATTTACTAAATTAAACCTACATAGGCCACTGGAATTCTATAAATTTGTCATTTGGCTTCTGGTTATGACGAAAACGACAACTCAGCTTTCTTGGAAACTAAATCGCGAGTTCCTAAACACGAAACTACCCCGACACGCCGGCATATGGTCCTCTAGATGGTACTCACATTTCATCTGAGCAGTTAGAGCACTTTTAATCGCTTGAGAAGAGTAGCGGTTACAGGTATCGTGCAATTATGCACGAATGGTCGCTATTACGTCCAAACGACGAACCAACCAAGCCTCCCGTCCTTTCAGGGTGAGCAAAGCGGTCCCGGGATATCCTGAAAAAGCTTCTTTTATTCCATAGTTGCTATCAACTCAGTATTAAAAACTTTAAACATTGTATCGGGGCTATCTCAGGATTCTATGAAAAATGCTTTCGACAGCCACTCACCTCATTCCACAGCGACCGAACATCTTCTTAGAGGATGAATTGGATCTAAAACAACGAACTAAAAAACGAGAGACGGAGTGGGTCCTCTACAACATTTAGATATGGATTATATAAGCAGAGTAGAAATAAAATAGTGTTTTAGTTAGTGAAACCTTCGTTATGCATTTTGTCCATTGATGCTAATTCCTCCACAGTACTCTACATCCTCACACTTATACATCTGCCCAAATTTAAGGCATGCAGCTTGAAGCACAGCCGTATAAGCACCGCTATCGCATGCATTATATCTCTTCCTATCAGCTTGGTTAACGAAAACATTTAGTAGAGTGAAGCTTAACACTAAAATCGGTATAAAAGCACAATGAGGGTAATGGTTCTACTATTTGATATTTTCATTCTACTTCACGGTCGGAAGTCGTATTTACAATCCGTTCATTCTTTTATCTTACCATGTGTATACCAAAGAAGTAGGTTTGACTGTCTAAACAAAAATCTTTTTAACGAGCTCGATGATCCAGTCCATAAAGGCACCTTTCACTGATCTCTGCAACCACTGTTATTAACAACCAACGAGAAGTAGTGGATTTTAGAAGCAATAGTTTGTGGTCAATATAACATCACTACACTGATGTGTGCTTAAGTTTATTCACCGTTCAATGTAAAACTGATGCTCTTGAGATCTCGCGTGATACAACGGTCCCTTAAAGACAAAAGTACAGAACGTTTACGCCTATGTAAAGACATACATATTTATAGACAGGAAATAAAACAAATCAGTAGAAATGAAAGAATAACTATCTAAGGAACTCTATTGACTTCGGATGAAATGCTGAGATATTTGCAAAACTCCGGACCACAGGTGTATGCAGTGGAGAATGAACACGCGCTGTTGTCCTTACCGGGTAGCAGCGCACTTCACCACTACACCATCCGGGTCCTTCGCTTGACTATTGACTTCATTGCACAAGAATGCGTAAATTTTCGACTGCACAATCATCTTCTCTGTCATCTTTATCGTTGAGGAACTGATACCTATGAAACGCTTACAGCTGAATAATAATAACAAACAAATTTATAGAGTGCTTTCCTCGACAGGCAGAATAGTATGGAAGATACCATGAAAGCTAATCGCTACAAGCAAGACGTCCCACACAACCCCTCCGAGGATTTACCTATTGGTCTTCCCCCGCTCTAGAAACATATTGATTCTTTCTTCTCATATATGGCCTCTTTAATTTTGCTGCTTTTGGTGTTTTCTGCGACGTAGCGCTCAAGACAGATTGCCTGCCTCAGCGGTGGTATTTTGTATACTTATAGGTAGCATGCCGGACTTCCTTATTACATGCATAAAGCTTCTTGAAGGCGGCAGTAAAACGACTTTAAAAGGCTTACTTTTTTGTCATTTATTGACAAATGGTTTTTTTTAAGCCGGCGAGTGTAACCCAATCAGCATACCCATAGACAAACATTCATGTGCGTAATACTCGCCACTGCACTTGTATGGAAGTTTAGACTGAGAATTCATCTCCTCACCGAGATCTTGTGCATAATTGCCGATGCATACTGAGATGTTCAATTTCATGGCACGGTTATCGCTATTCAGATATCTTTCCATCGATAAGCTCGACTAAGAATAAATCAGGCCAAAAATCTCCAACGCCTTTGAGGAGATCTAATCGTACAGTAACAAATCTCCTCTATATCCATGAAGGCCATCGATTCAAGTGCAGTGCCTTCCGCGTGCTTGGAATATCGTGGCATCGCCTTCTTGAAAATTCGTGGAAGACTGAAGCCAACCGAGATAAAGACAAAAGGGTGTTATGTTCGGAACCTGTGTGCCTTATTGTTAATGCAAGCCAGTTAAAATAGTTCAGGTGCTAAGTAGGTACGCTTATATAGAAAATTATAGAAAATTGAAGTTATTCGAAGCGGCAGAGAGAGAACTTCCGCATACTGATTTCGTCTTTTTCAAGGCAATTGACAGTTATATGGTCACCTTTGGGGCGTGTTCAAACACGGGCGTGATACCTATGCAAAAATATCGGAGACCTTTGGGCTGTTAAAAAATTTGTAGCGCGTTGAAGCTCTTACTGCTCCTTCTTACTGGATGAAAGATTTGAACTTTGAAAGTTATGAATAAAAAGTGGTAGCAGTCTGCCTCAGAGAAGAAAGATACGTTATTTCTTTTATAAAGTAACAATGTTGTCTTACTAGGCAAACACGTCGCCAACTTTCTCCCTTAAAAATTCGTTTTTTAGGAGTTATAGAAATGAGAAGCCGAAAAAAGAGCGACGTAGACGTAGGTCAAGCAGGGAATCACGTTCAGAGAGCATCAAAGGTGAACATAGCTTGGAAACTCGTTTTCTCGAAAAAACAATGAAGACGTTAACTGCTATAGAACATGTATTGGTATCACCAGATACTGTAACACCACTAACGAATACCATATGCTCCAATTAGCACATTGATTATATTCTGAAGTGACTATATATACACTGATATAGACAGATATGCACATATACAATCATGCACACGCAGACATATACGTACACAAATACATACCCAAGTGGAACCAATATATGCATGCATAACTACATACAAACAGGCACACAGACATCGCAAACAGTGCGCACACAGACACACACCACCACCAATAAACACACATACATACATACATACATACATACATTCATACATACATACATACATACATACATACATACATACATACATACACAAGCAGAGGTCAAAAAATTAACCATCATAAACTATTATGAGAACATAGCTCTGAATACAGATAAGAATGGTGAACAAAGACGTGGAAACGAGAATAATCATGGGAACGAGAATGTTCCCGTAACTCCTGAAAAGGGAGGAAAAGAAATAGGTAGTGGTGATAGTGAATTTGAACGAGAAGCTGAAAACAATGGAGAATCTAGACGGAAGCTCTCAGTGGATCAAAGCTTTAAAGTGGCCAGATCATCAAAACATGCCAAGGATATGGTGAGTGATAAGATCATAGTTCAACACTGAAATCGGCACATGTGACTGTGGCAAGGGCACTCACTGCTAGTAATGATATCTATGCAATTTTTCCATATGGTTGCCATTTCGACAATGAACTAGCACATTTCCCACAAAAGTAGATGCAATTTGCTAAAAAGCAAACTTTTCGTAGTGCTTGCACTGTATGTCATCTGTAGTAACAGAATTGTAGTGGCTTACTAGTGGGCAGATAGCGTACTATTAATGATGCCTTTCATAACGCGCACGGTGCTCGTTCAATCGTGCAGAGTTTAAAAGCCACTCACCGTCTTGAGTTGAGAAAATTGTGCTAGGCTTGTCTGAGGTCGGCTCATTCCATGCAGCACAAGTGGGAAGCCCTAGCATGGTTGCCTAAAGATTTGGCTAAAATTGAAGTTGTTTAGGTGAGCCACTGGGTGAATCGAGCATTGGACATGGGAGTTCCGAAACTTATTGAGGAATTTCGATGTAATCTGTCAAGATGGTATCCAGAGGGAATGACAACAAACGCTTTTTCAGCGAATCGAGACAAAAACCGGTAGGCGTCGATATTCATTGTTCGTCAACTTTTTAGCAAAGCACTGTAAAGGATCTAATACATTATGTAAATAAGCCCACAAGGGAAGCGATTGAAAAATACCAAAATTCAAGATGACGGCAAGAAAGAATACATATGATAGCAAAGTTTGTGTCATCTTTCTTATTAAAAATATCAAAATCCTAGAAGGAAATCGTTGAAGAAGGAAACCATATGAATAGGGCATACCGGCAAGTGATCGATTTTAGAAGTGAAATGCTAAGTTATTCTCCTACTACTGTCATCCACTACTAGCCAATGTACACGTTCCAATCCACTGAATTCCCGTGCCGGTTTTCGTTGCTGGCCCAATCTAGGAACAATTTTTCAGCGAGTGGCTTTTTTGATAGCAAAGGATCTTTTCTCAATACCTAGGGGACTTGAGAAGTTTTGTACACGACAAGATTGTAGAAGAGGCTTTACTCTATCGTTCTATTTATGAATGACTTGCATGGTACTATTTGCTATGTGTTACTATGGTCCGTATTGCAAATGCTTTGCTGTCGGCATTCTGGCATTTGGAAGTTTTTGCAATTTATATTGAGTCTATCTACTTTTATATACTCTATACAATAATTATGGTGAATAAAATGAAATATCAGCAATTGCTTGTTCAGAGCCGTTCCTTACGTGAATTGCTCTAGGGAAGAAGACCTGATTATCTGATATGATTAAATGATCAGCTGTTGTTCCTTAGTGGAGGGCACGTAGGAACGGCTATGAAGAAGGTGATACTGCAAAAACATCAGCTATTGTTGTACTTTGTATTTTTGTATGGAAGTAAATATATTCTGTATAACAACCTCGTGCTTGCTGAAGAAGAAAACGACGCATTTATAATTCAATGCCGAGGTTGATAGAAAGTCGGTCTTGGAAACTATATATTTTTAGATTGTTATGGGTTTATTTCACATAATACTTCTCTATAAAAATAATAACAGCCGGTAAGTAAAAAAAGCTACACATTGTGACCTCGACTACAGCCTCAGCTTAGCTGTATTAAATGCCAATTTGTGCTTCCAGATCATTCCTGATAACACGTGAGCCTCTGGAAATGGTATTCGCAAGTTCGAATCTGACTATTGCTCTGAATTTTGCAAATACTTCAGCATTATTTTAGTTGTTTTTAGATTGCTCAGTTTACAGGATGTTGGTATAAAGCTTTTAACCTGCTAATGTTTCGCTGCCCTTCTCTTCCTCAGACCAGGAAAGATTCGGGTCGATGGCCAGCAGTCGCTCGACCTGGCGATGTGGTTCTTCGTAATCCCATGGTGTGGAATCTTGTGGTCCTCGCTAAAAAAAATTTTTCAAGCGATGCTTCGCTCTAGAAGATTCAACTCGATACGAGCACAAAGAACCACTTCTCGAGAACGAACGGCTGTTGACAGTCGACTCGGATATATTCGAGTCTGAAAAAAACGAAGACGTCGAAAGGTTAGCTGAATAAACTTTCATAACAACCTCGCGTAATCTAAACAATCTAAAAACATACTGTTTAAGAACATTTCTCTTACTAACGTTTTTCTAACGTTTTTTAAAAATATTTTCCAATTGTATGCATAACTTCTGACCAACCACTTCTCGTTTAAGCATGCCGTCGTTAGCATTTCGTTTCGTTTTCAAACTACCTTCTCTAAGCATGTGCTTCGCGGGATCTCTACAAAATGAACGAGTTGAAATTTTGTAGATATCTTGATGTTCCGTGTCAAGATCAACGTCGTGTCGTAGTAAATTGGCCAGGTTTGCCCAACGACTACATTCATGCGAACTATGTTGCGAATCCCACAAGAGATAATCGCTTCATATGCGCTCAGGTAATTGAAATCCATAACTATATACCGTTTTTATATATCGATGTTTATATTCACAAAGAAAAATTAGTTCACCTCACTTTCTCTGACATATAAATTTTGCTGGTGTTTATTGGCCAAAGATTTTTTTTAAATTGCTCTTTTCCCTGAAGATATCAAAAAAAATTCAAAGAAAAATAAGAACAGCCGCTGATAATGCCGAGGGATAAACCCGTTTCTTTGAATAGAACTCTAGGTACGGGCGACCATGCTGAAGGGTAGATTCACCCTTCAGATTAGATGCCTCGTTAAGATCGTTAGTCATTAGAAGAGACTTAAACCAACTTTCCACGACCGACTTTCTATTAACCTCGGCATTGATCAAGTAATTCACCGTATTTTCGTTGAGCAAACGCGAGGTATTATTGTTCTTTATTCACGAATAAGCTGATGTTTCGGCGGATTTCGCCTTCCTCAGAGCCGCTTTCTATGAGGTTTCCAATAAATATGTCATGTAGAGACCAACCGCACAGAAATCACATGGAAGCATAATGCACATTATGGGTTGGTCTCTACGTGACATACTTAGTGGAAACCTCATAGAAAGCGGATGTGAGGAAGGCGAAATCCGCCGAAACGTCAGCTTATTCGTGAATAAAGAACAATAACACCTCGCGTTTGCTCAACAAAAATACGAAGAATTAAACCAACTTTGTTCAACATAAACTTAATTGTAATAAAGCAAACTAATAAAACGAGGTGTTCAATTTGGTGTGTTCGAAACGTTCACATTTTTAATCTGAGTGAAGATCATCTGTCAAATAGGTCAACTCAATCTCTGAAAGATAAGAGCATGCTTGTTCTTAACAGGCAAGGAAAGTGAAGAAATGCTTAGAAATCATTTGAAGCTTCGGCATATTTTTTAAGGGACCACTTGACAACACGCAATTGGCATTTTGGGCGATGGTTATTCAAGAAGAAGCTGAATGCATCATCATGCTCTGTAACATCATCGAATGTGTAATTCTATCTTATCTAGTTATAAGATTAAGCAAACTATTTCAGCGTTTGCAGTAAATTAGATTATTTGTTCTCGTTTTTAATGTGAAAAAAAATCGGTGGGGTTTTTCTTCCTTTATTCGCCACGGGGTCGGTTGTAGTGCAGTGGTCGGAGGCGCACCGCGGTAGGCATGGGATCGATCCCACGCCCAGGCCTACCAAACTCTCCATTTCCTTGGGTCTGCAAATTGGTACCAGAATTGTCTGAGAGAATGGCAGCACTGGTTCGATACATGGGTGGGCTACCACCAGTTGTTTTAAAGGCCTGATATGTATTCAATTGCTTCCAACTATGCGTAATGAAGTCGAATACGTGATTCTTCTCCCAGATTATAGGCCAACGCCGAAAGCTTTGCCTTTTTATTTTTATTTATTCTTAAATTTTTTATTCAAAACGTTTCAGGGGAAGTTCAAATGTTCTCAGTATTGGCCACGCGAAAAGGGCGAGTCCATGTCAGTTGGAGAGGGAGAAGGGAAAATAAGAATAACAAATCTTGATGTAAGGGATTTTTAAAGTAATGGTTTGCGAAGACAAAATTTTAGAAACGAAACTAGGATAAGCTGTATTCGTATTCAGCACCTTTGTTAAAATCCCAAACCAACGTTGTTATTTTTCTATACGGCATAAAGGTAGACTTGGTGTCTGTAATTAGATCCATCCATTTCGGTTTGTTCCCCTTCGCCCATGGGTTCTTCATGAATAGGCTCTTCATTCTATTTATGCGCAGTCAAATCTTTTCCCCTCTTCGTTGGGTTCATTGAGCATCGTCTCTGCTTCAGTGGTACTCCTAGAAAAAATGACAATATTATCTGCCAAACGATGATTTGTTAGAGATTTTCTATCACTACGTATGCTATACTTCTCGTACCAATCGAGTTACATCCAATCTATTGCGGCGGCAGATAGCTTCGGCGATATTTTGTCGTCTTGTCGAGGCCTTTTTCCTCCAGGTGTAGTGAGTGGTAAATGAGAAAGCTGTGTGTTTGTGCTGCAGTTCCAATAACACTCTGTTAGTGCTCGTATATAGTGTTCAACCCTTTTAAAATTAAGAGCACAGGCTAAAAACAGCTATTTAACTTTCACATCTTGTGAAGATGTGTTATTGTGGATGAAAAGGTCCAACGAAAGATGAATAATCTATGCGAAACATAAAAGGAATGGTGGAGTGTTTGGCGTAGCGGTTAGGTAGTGCTCAATGTAAACGTGGTCATTGGTTCGAACCCTCGCTCCGGACTCGTAAATCTTTCCTCTTCTCTGGGTTCGACAAAATGCTAGCAAATCTGTTTGGGGAGATAGCAGTAATTACTTGATAAATTGGTAGGTCACTGCAAGTCATTGTATAAAAGACCAGATATCTAACCAATCACTTCTAACGATGTTAGATGAAGTCGAGCGCATAGTGCATTTTGCAAGGGTTGGTCGATATGGGAGGCTTTTAGCTTTGTGCGTGAAGCGATCTTAAGAGCACAATCTTAGAGACGATCCTAAACAACTTCCTAGGTAAGCGGAAAACAGAAGACGTTTGGATTTAGTGCAAACAATGACAGTGACAATCACTTGAATTAGCTGACGTCTTCGGGTTAGTGTATTAGTGTGCCTGCATTTGGTCTAACAGTCGTCTGTCTTTTTTTTGGGCTGTGCTACCTTTCAAATAACCAGATTGGGATCTATCACAGCAAAGGGAGTGGCGAGGCTTAATTATATGATTAAATCGCGAGCATTTTTTCAGGTGCATCCGTTGTCGGAAGCAAATAGTTTTGTGCGTGTGTCCCGTCTGAAATTAGACTATGTAAAGAATGGGAAAGAAAGCAGCACTATGATAACACATTATCAATGGGAAAATTGGCCTGATCGAGGAGTGCCTTCAACAAATCTCACAGCTACGGTAGGGAATTCCACAGTGCGCGACACTGCGATGGCCAGTGCCAAGTGGAAGTGTGATTTAAAGAGCCACAAGTTAATTTCATCGCCTATCGGTCAGATTCTATGCGTTTTCTTTTGGAACATTTTTGAGCAGTATTGTACGAATCTTTTTTCATCAAAAATTACTTTCATTTTGAAACGATTCGGATATTCCCAGCTTCTTTATGGTGATAGTGGTTTCCTTTTAAAGGAACTTCTTTCTGCGGTACGTGGCACGACAAAACCAATCATAATCCATTGCTCGGCAGGAATCGGACGAACCGGAACGATAGCGGCAATCGCATATGTACAGGAGAAAATGCAACACGGTGTAGGGCTCTATGAAATTATTTATCCATCTAAACCAAGGTTAGATGAAGAGTGAGTGAGTGAGTTGTTGATGATCAGCAATCCCAGTGTGGGCACCTACTTTCCACAACCGCAGACCGAATTTTTTTCTGCTGCAGTGGTTCCTCATAAACCTTTACGGAGTAAAAATCGGCATCTATTCAGAAGCCAGTTTTTCATTTCATATAAACTTACTTTAGCAAAACTGTATGGATATGGATGCCTTAACGAAAGAACTGCGAACACAGAGGCCTTACTCTATTCAGAATGAATTTGTACGTTTCTTTTCATTATCGTTCATTATGCACTTTTTGAATGCTTTCTAGGATGTTCTATCAAGGTAGGATAATTATTCGCATCTTCTGCACTGTTTGCAACTCACAGTTTTTCATTTCGAATCCTCATCGTAAGCACATTTGATTTCTCATTCTCCAGCTGATAAAGGCTCCTCAGTGATAACAACAAAGCAGTGGCTAAGCAAGTAGTGGAAACTGCCGAGTGAAATTTCTCTAAAAAATTTGTCCCACAAGTTTTCCTAGAAGCTCCTTGAAAATACCAATACTTGTAAAGATGATTTGCATCAACTTTGACGTTTTATATCGCTGACCTGCCTGAACCTGCTGACCTCGACAAATCCTCACTGGAGAGTGCTGTAACTGTTTTCTCAATGTGTCAAATTTCTTTCTAGTGTTTATTGAAACTTATTAAACTTATAGGGCGCGTGTGGCACAGCGGTTGGAGGCACCCTGCAACACAGACGTGGAATCGATCTTCACGCCCCAGGCTCACCAAGCCTTCCACCTCTCTGGGAACTGCAAATTGGCACCAGACTTGTCTGAGAGGATGCCAGCACTGGCTTGATACATTGGTAGGCCACCGCGAGTCATTGTTTCAGATATACCTTCAATCACCTCCAAACGATGCTTAATGAAGTCGAATGCATGGCGCATCCCTCAGGGATTGATCTAGGCGGAGAGCTTAATGCTTCTATTTTATTTATTAAATTTACTCTTAGAACAGCTATTTCTCCGCCTATAATTCAATTTCTAGAAAGCATTTAAAAAAAACACATGACGTTTGGTGCTTCAGCAATATATATATGTACATCGCGTACTGTTGGCATATTTTCTGGAGAAGTACCGTGATCGCTTCGCTCATATTCTGAGTGGTGATGGAGAAGCGAAATATGCAAAATGGCTTGAAGATTACAAAATTGCAACTGGTTGCAACTAAATCCTGTTTTTAAGCCTGGATAAAATATTCTTTAGCTTTGCTTATTTGTTTGTAATAGAAGCTGCTTCTAGGTGGAGCTACCGAAATACTCACTGAATAACGAATTTATGAAAAGCGGAGAATTAGCAGGCTGCGCAGTTATGGTGATGCTGATCATCACGAGCGCGGTGCCTGATCGACTCCGCTGCTCGCCTAATCTCTCATCCTTCCGGGGTCGGAAAGGTGGTAGCATAATTTTTTCGGAAACACCCACTCTGTGCAATCCAGTTAACAACGATCTAACTCGGCTACCTCATGACTGCAAGGGAAATCAACTCGACCACCATTCAATGCCATTCATGACGGAAGGAAAATCATCAAGCAGCAGAGGAACCCACAGACAAAAGTTGGAAGGGGCGCGTGCGAAAAAACTAGTCGAGTGCAAGAGGTCCTGGGATCTGCGCGTTAAATGTGAAAGAAGGGTCGTATTAAAGAAAAACCACGATGCAGACGTTTACAATTGGACAAACACGGAATTAATTCCGAACGTTAAAATTGTTTTATTAAGAAGACATGAAAATAATTTGACCTTAGCAACAATGAGCACCGTAACCACATAGCAAAAAAATTCCATGTACGTCAACAGCTTAGTTGAAACAGAATAAATGCTGGAACAAACATTTATTCACCATCTATCTGACACAGAAGCTGAGAAAATCTGTCAATCTTACTCGTAGTTTTGCAGGTTAGCCGATTTAATAATTGTAGAATTAAAACATGAAGTGATTTTAGAGTGCCTGATGTCTGGAAATTAATGGACCTAAGGAAGTTTTACCATGGCTTTCAAGGAAAAAGTTGTTCAATTAGCAAAATAACGAGTGGAAATCACACTGCAATCCTGATAAATTTCAAGCATTAATGAAGGCAGACCAACCAATTAGTCGAATATTCAAGCTACTCTATGGCACGAGTTAGTGCAGTATCCTACTCGGATGAAATTGTCCCAGAGTAGCTCACAAAACCTGAGTTTTGTGATGGTTGGCTCTTCAGGTGGACAGGTTCGCATGTTGTTAGTAGGTGATCACCGATTGTCGGCACAAAATTTAGCAGTAGCATATGAAACAAAAGAAAAAAAGCATCAATCAACTTATACCACCTATGCATAAGAGGACTTCTAATAACAGTCAACGTTGAGCTAAAACTATAACATGAAAAAACTGATGTAGTCTGTTACGTCCAACTTTGAATATGTGAATCCACTTAAGATGTTGCCACCCTTACCCTTTTTAGACCAGGTTTTCGTCGTTTAAAATTTTCAGTTACTGCTAAACAACGACAATAGTGAGAATGGTGACTACCAAGTAGATCGAATAATAATCGTTTTCGTAACAACATTAAGCACGACTGGAATGTGCACACCACGAGCATTTGTAAATTCATTTCCTACGATCTATGCAAGAATTTTAACCACGACTTATTCATTTGACCATTTGAAGTGCCGAGTGAACTCAACAATCTGGATGTTCAACGAAGGTTATGGTAACATTAGTTCAGTTACGATATAACGCAACGAAAGATATCCGGGCCGGAGTGTACCCTACAGCTGGATTCAGACCTGTTTCCAAGCCTCTATACGTGTGGCTAGCAGAATTGTCAGTGAACGATGTAACGGTGAATATCGCATCCACTAATTATTTATGTCCTACTAACTAGATCACCAGCTAACACACACGCCTACACACATCCACCCACACACACGCATCCGAACATACACATACACCTAGACATAAACATACACACACACAGCGACAGACTCACACATAACCACCGACACACGCACACAACTAGATATGTATGCGTATCGAAGGCGGTGAAAAGGGCTATACAATTTTATAACGGCATTCACCAGTGGAAAATTTAATATGAGATTTCCATATTACCAGATATTACTTCTCAACAGGAAAGGGAAAATTGACCGAAAATGTAAAAGTGACCAACGCCAACCTGGGCAAAAACCATGGCGATAAAGACGATATGAATGAGAATTTATACTGCTTTAACAGATTGACACAGTGAACGCTTATTAATCCTATCGAAAAGTGGTCATAAATATACCCCACAATAAAAAACATATGGGCGCGTGTGGCGCAGAGGTCGGAGGCGCCCTGCCACTTGTAGGATCGATATCCGCATCCGTGGCTCACCAAGCCTTCCATCCCACCGAGGTCGGCAAATTGGTACCAGACTTTTTTGGGTAGATAGCAGCACTGGTTAGCATCACATCGGAAAGCCACCGCGAGTCATTGGCCAGATATGCATTCAATCACCTCCAACGATACTTAATGAAGTCGAATGAATGGCTCACACCTCAAGGATTGATCAACACCAGGAGCTTTATCCTTTATTCTTTTAATAAAAGACGTTGGAAATCAAAGGACCGACTTTCTATAAACCTCGGCATAGATAGTCGATATATTTATTTATACGATCTTATAAACCGACCTTTTTAAGCTGATGTGAGGTTGGTACAGGTCTTCGTTGTCGTTTTCGTCGTTGTTGATGTTGTTGGACGATGGCTGACGTTTCGGCGACTTCGCCTTCCTCAGAGTCTGGACGTATACTAGAATATTTTTATTATTCGACGGAAAAAGGTTAAAGTATTGATAAAGATCAAACTTTTAAATAGATGGTGGGTTAGGATGCTACGGTCAAATATAGTTCTACGTCTATATGGAGCAGAAAGTTCACTCACCGTGATGTTACGTGTGGAACTGGCTCACGCGTTCGTTGTTCACGTGGGGTCGCGAGCAAGACAGCCCGCGGTCAAAATCTCATTTTGAAATAGCGGGCCAGGTCACGTGTGATGATGAGGCATTCGTCCTTCCGGTTCATCTTTGGATTTTTGAAATTTATCCAAAACGCCTCAAGAGTTTTGCACGTTGATGTTTTCGATTCCTGCGCTAGGATCCGCACATTCACTTCAAAATCGTCGCCGTTGTGCTTTTGTGCTCTATGCGTACCTAGAGGGGTGTTTTGACGGATTTTAGCTTTCCCATCTAAATGTTCTTTTGTGCGGACGCAATGTGGTCTACCCGTTTCCCCAATATATTCCTCGCCGCATACGTTACATGAGACCAAGTATATTATGCCTAAACTCATGCAATCCCCGTCTCTCCCGTTAGGACAGAACATACAGTTTTCTGAGCTGCACAAACGATCATAGAGACGGTTTCGAACTAACTGGCGGCGTAGGGTATTGGGTGGGATGTCAACAATCGTTACATAATTTTCAAGACCACTTTTTCTTAAGCACTTTTTAATGGCGTGACTTACTTCATTTGATATGAAGGGTAGCTTAAAGGGGATCTTACTCACGTCCGAAACATTATTTTGGGGAACTACTCTACGTTTTTCTCTAACCCGAGTGGCTTCTACTTCGTAACTATTGGAAATGGCTATTTTTCGTGCCAGGTTATGCGATTCCTTTCTGTCTTCTTCTCCTGTACCCACATTCTTTGGAAGAGAATAGTAGCTTGGACTAAATCGGTATGCGGAAAGATTCGGTGTGATATTAAGAGCAAATTAAGGGAAAAGTTTGAAGATCTATCACACCGCTCAAAAAGCTTAAATCATAAGACCACCGCTGGTCAAGTTACAAGTAAAAACCCTGAAATAGGCTGCGCATCAAGAACATCCAGGGTTACTGTGCTAGTAGGTATAACGCTTCCGGAAAATATGCGTTCCTTTTTAGAATTGGGTCTGAGTTTTGCACCTAGTCAACCCATTTCTAAACCAATCCTGCACAGGATCACGTGTAGTCTGCATGAACTCAAGATTTCAAGATCAGCTACGTTACAGAGTTAGGCTAGAAAGGTTAGGTAAAGTAGTACCAAGAGGGGAACTACCACCAATACCCTTTTCCCGAACTTTCTTTAAACAAGAGCTACCAAATACCGATATTGACTCTACATTTCGTTTATTTTCGGACGAAATTCTCTGCATACTTAATCACAACCAAAAAAGGAAACTAGGCTCCAGCCTTACACACCGACAAAAATGTAGTATGCGTCAGGTTAGAGAGCTCTTGAATTCAAAATCTGTCAGACTTTCTATTAGTGAAAAAAGTGGAGAATTTGCAGTTATTCCTAGTCAGTTGGATATTAGAATAATAGAGGAGCACCTCAATGATGTTTCTCTCTATGGAGCATCCTCTGAAAAGGAATGTAGAAACCAATACTAAAAATTAACTCCCCGGAAAGGACAATAGCGCGTTCGTTCCCCACCATAGACACCTGCGGTCCAGAGTTTTGCAAATTTCTCAGCAACGTTGTGACTGAAATTAAATCAAGAATGGGTCAACACGACAAACGTGCGGGGCCTCCAGTTATTTTTCGAATTAAAAAGGAACATGCCATTTGCCCTGTCCTTTACTTGCTTACTGAAACACATAAGCTTACTTCAACTGATGATATTACATCAACGAACCCATCCATCATCATATAAAGTTAGACCTATCATCAGTTGTATAGGCGGGCCAACGGATAGAATAACGTGGTTCCTAAACCTTATCCTAATCCAGCTGCTAAAATTCATTCCAACCCATCTACCTAACACCAAAGTATTTCTGGATCACCTAAAGCGCGCACAACCAAACAGCACGCACGTAATTGAGTTATTCGATGTTACGTCACTTTATACTAATGTGTCCAATGACTCCGCAATGCAAGCCATTCTCGAGTTGCTCGTAGAGCATGAAAAGAAAATAAAAATGTGCGGCTTGCCGACTGCATAACTAATGACTCCTTTAAAACAGTGTCTTAGTTGTTCAATCTTTAGGTGGTCTGGAAAATGTTTTGCACAATTTAATGGGTTCGGCATGGCGCAGCGTTTAGCACCAAGGCTTGCCATCGTTCACCGACCCTTACTCTACTGTCGATACATAGACGACCGCTTCATCGTCTGTTCCACACAAGGACAGATGGATGAGTGCTTTGAATTGTTAAACCGACAGCCAGAGTATTTAAAATTTACACTAGAAAAACCAACTGAAAACCGGCTTTCATTCTAAAACATCCAAATAAAGCTCTCAGTAAGTGGCTACATAACAAAATGGTATAGCAAGCCAAGTAGTAAAAGCATTCTAGTTCACTACCTCTACTTTCATCCTTCCGAAATTTAACATAAACTTCATTATTGGGCTCTTGCTCTCTAAAGAACGGCTGAGGAAATGGTGCTATTGGTAGAGCCCGAACTCCTTATACAACACGAAGGAGAAATAAACATGCATAGCTTCTAGATAAAGCAGTTGATGGCATTTTTAAAAGAATGCTTGAGCTGCTTAATCTTCAGAAGGTCTGGAAAGTACTACGACCAAATAAAGGAGTTGGCAATGGGACAACGACTAGCACCAAGTCTTGCCACTGCGTTTATGTCTAAGGTGGAAGCACCGGTGATTGATCTTGGGCCGCTACTCTATTGTAGATATATAGATGATTGTTTCGTCCTTTGCTCAACACAAAAAGAAATGGACAAATCTTTCGAGTTGTTAAACGAACAGTCAGAGTATATCAAGTTCACCAGAGGGAAACCGAAAGAAAACTGGCTTCCATTCCTGTACGTCCAAATTTACCTGTGAGAAAATGGCTACATTACGAGGTGGTACCGAAATCTAAGTAGTAAAAACATCTTGGTTCATTACCTCTTCTCTCACCGCTCTCACACGAAAAGGGCGTTTGTAAGAAACATGTTTCGAACAGCAGCCAACGTCTGCACAGAAAGAGAGTAGGGAGAGGAGTCGCGGAACTTGGCGCGGCAAATAACCATTTCTAATGACTACGAAACTGTAACCCGGTATAGGTGTGGAAAAATCCTAGGCTCCCAAACGACAACTCGAGCGATGGAAAGGTTCCGTTTATCCTACCCTTCATTTCAAATGATGTAAGTGCAGCTATAAAGCGCTGCTTAAGAAGGGCGGGTCTAGAGAATCCGGTAAACGTAGTTGACATGCCACCGACTACCCTTACGCAGCAGCTAGTTCGTAACAGCCTATATGACCATCCATGTGCAAAGCAAAAATTGCATAATTTGCCTCAATGGTAAAGACGGTGATTGCATGAGTTCGGGTACAGTTTATCTGATTTCCTGTAAGGCGTGCGGAGGCGAATACATTGGCGAAACGGTGAGGCCCCTCTGTGTTAGCACAAAAGAACACCTAGTCGGTAAACTTAAACCGAATACCCAACTAGGCAAACACAGGACGGAAAGACATAACAAGGAGGACTTTGAAGTACGGGTCATGATCCTTGCGCAGAAATCGAGAACACAAGCGCGCAAAACTCTCGAGGCGTTCTGGATTTATTCCAGAAATCCGAAAATGAATCGCAGGGAAGAATGCCTCATTATCAAGCGTAATATTGGGCAGCATATAAGCCTGTTATTCTGAAGGGATGGGCACGTTACGCTTCCGTGTGAATTTTGTGTGGTTGGTCTCCACACAACATACTCAGTGGAAGTTGGTTTAGCGTTTTCTCTGTTTGGTTATTGAGGTGTTTGGCGTTGGGGTACCTGTGGTTTCCTCTACACCTATCTGGAGCTACGGTTTCGTAGGCATTAAAAATGGCTATTTGCCGCGCCAAGTTCCGGGACTCCTCTTTCTGTTGTCTCCCTGTGCACACGCTGGTAGCTGTTCGATACATGTTTCTCACAAGCGCCCTTTTCGTGTGAGAGGGATGAGAGGAGAGGTAATGAACTAGGATGTTTTTACTACTTGGCTTTCAATACCACTTCGTAATGTAGCCGTTTTCCGATAGGCTAATTTGCACGTTCAGAAATGGAAGCCAGTTTTTCTCGGGTGAATTTAATATATTAGTAAAAAGCCAAGTAGTTGTTTAAGAAGGGCTAGTCTAGAGAAGTCGGCAACGATAATCGAAATACCACCGAGTAATCTAAGACGCCAGCTAGTTCGTAACCGCCTATACGACCGTCTATGTGCAACGTAAAATTGCATAATTTGCCCCAATGGTAGAGACGGTGACTGCATGAGTTCGGGTACAGTCTATCTGATCTCTTGTAAAGCGTGCGGGGACGAATACGTTGGCGAAACGGGTAGACCACTATGCGTACGTATAAAAGAACACCTAGCCGGCAAACGTAAGCTAAGTACTCCACTAGGTACGCATAGCACGCAGAAACATAACGGAGAAGATTTTGAAGTAAGGGTTACGATCCTCGCGCAAGAATCGAGAACACAAGCGCGCAAAACTCTAGAGGCATTCTGGATAAATTCCAAGAATCCGAAAATGAACCGCAGGGAGGAATGCCTTGTTATCACGCGTGATATTGGACAGTATATAAACCTGTTATTCTGATGGGAGGGGCAAATTACGCTTCCATGTGAATTCTGTGCGGTCGGTCTTCATGCGATATACTCAGTGGAAGACTCATAGAAAGCGGTGAGTGTGCAGAGCTATGCTAAATGTGATTGAAATCTTGNCAACGTAAAATTGCATAATTTGCCCCAATGGTAGAGACGGTGACTGCATGAGTTCGGGTACAGTCTATCTGATCTCTTGTAAAGCGTGCGGGGACGAATACGTTGGCGAAACGGGTAGACCACTATGCGTACGTATAAAAGAACACCTAGCCGGCAAACGTAAGCTAAGTACTCCACTAGGTACGCATAGCACGCAGAAACATAACGGAGAAGATTTTGAAGTAAGGGTTACGATCCTCGCGCAAGAATCGAGAACACAAGCGCGCAAAACTCTAGAGGCATTCTGGATAAATTCCAAGAATCCGAAAATGAACCGCAGGGAGGAATGCCTTGTTATCACGCGTGATATTGGACAGTATATAAACCTGTTATTCTGATGGGAGGGGCAAATTACGCTTCCATGTGAATTCTGTGCGGTCGGTCTTCATGCGATATACTCAGTGGAAGACTCATAGAAAGCGGTGAGTGTGCAGAGCTATGCTAAATGTGATTGAAATCTTGGTTTAGAGTTTTCTCTGTTTGGTTATGGAGGTGTTTGGCCGAGTAGATTGCTGTCAACTTGACCTTACCAGGCTCTGAAAAAGGCGAAATTCGCCGAAACGTCAGCTTGTACGTAAATAAAGAAATAAAATAACACCTCGTGTTTGTTGAACAGAAGTCCAAAGAATTAAGGAAGTAGTATTGCAAAATTTTATGATACACAAAGGAATTACTCAAAAAATGTTGCATAGCCAGTAGGGTTACTTGGATCTGTAGACATTTACTTCTCAACCTCGATGGTGTATTGGTGAGTGCACTAGCCTCCGGAAAGGGTAATAGCGCGTTTGTTCCGCACCGCAAACACCTGCGGACCGGAGTTTTGCAATTATCTCAGCACTAGTGTGGTTGTATTTCGAATAATACTTTTCCGTAAAAGATTATATTAGGCCGCAAATAAAAAAAAGCAAATATTTACTTTTCAAATCATTCTGCTCGCCTCACACCACACTGGTGTCATCTTCTTTTCTACGGGTACTTCATACCGTTCCAATACAGTAACCAAACATTAGAATCCCTTGTGTATTTCTTCCCAGTGCTTTACCTCGTCATCTTCGCTGGGAGGTTTTTCTGGGTGCCGTGGTGTGATATACCGCGAAAGATTAGTCCCTGGCAGGGTCCCCTATGCTGAAAAAGATACCGGCGTTTCCACTAACCTATCTAAGAGTAAATCAGGGCCAGGATCCCGTCACAGCCCTGGTATGCATCACTGTGGCAGTGGTGAAGGCAAAACCCAACCAGGTGATGATAAGACCCCATTTTAGGTTCACCGAACCTGCCGGCTTGATGATATTAGCAAATTGGTCCTTATTTTGCATGGCTGCAAGCTGTCACCTTGGTGTGAGACTTAAACACAAATCCGAAGATTATCGTGCAGGTTGGTTGCGAGGAAATGATTCGAAGAAGAAGCCACTTGCATTTGCAAAAGAAAACTAAAAAATAAAATAAATAAATCTTGCCGATTCGAAGGGTTTTTGTTCGATGCTTTGCAAACGCTCAACTTTACTGAAACCAGAAAAAAAATCATGGTTGTACAATTATTTACTACTTTCAATGATTATGCCCATAACAGCGTGGATGACGTTGATTCCGGTTTCCACTATTTTGCTATGCGATTGAATATCATGAAGAATTTGCGCGTTTGCCATATAAACATTGTTTCGAATTTGTTCTGCCTGACGATTTGCTCTGTGTTTGTCGACGATCCTCTCAATACTGTGCTCATGGATGGAAATCGTCGCAAACCAGCGTTCGCTGCAGACGACGTCGAACATACGGAAGCAATGCGAATTCCGTTTTGAGTGCTCTTAACGAAAAACTTGAGAGGTCAAAGAAATCTGTCTCGCAAAGCTTTCTCCCTATAAGCAGTAAATTCACTCGCTCACTTTCACAGGAGCTGACAGTGCTTTCTTCTTTTATGATTTCATTTATTGGACTGAAGCTGCTGATATTATGACCACGCAGATATTCAGTGGAATTCGTAAATTGTACTTCTTCGCAAAACGTTTGCTCACATAATTTTATTCGTATTGTTATATGAAGAAAAAGCGTCAATCACTAAATTTCTTTCATTTCTCAATGACACCACGATGTAATCGAACGAATAGAACGGCAATGGATAATCGGCTTGAATCAGTCCAACTCTGAAGAAGACGAAAACATTGAAATGTTAGTCAAATGAAAGATTTTCTGCCAGCCTCGTAACAGCTCAGTAATCCAGAATAGTTCTCGTTATATGTTCCGCCCTTGATCATGCTTGTTTAGTCTCTCGTTCAAGCATTTCCCTTTTCCGTGAAATTCCATCGCATTAGCTTACAGTGCAACAAACGTGTTGCCTAAAACCTTCATCAATCTCCATTTTCATAAAGAGGAAAGCATTGAATAGATGATTAACGGGAGATCTCTATCTTATCGAGTATAGACTGTCGCAAAATTTTGAGATCCCTGTAACCGCAAAGAGGACTGTTTTTAATAGTTTCAGGTTTCTTATTACTTACTTACGCACGGCATTTTAGAGATGTAGCACAAAATAAGGAGTGAAATGTGGGTAATAAGCCGTTTGTGAAACTGACGATCCTGTTAAGCACAAATCGTGCAATGCGCACAATGAGGATAGTGTGCACACTCAAATCCGAGCATATTTTCAGGAAATTTACTCAGTAACGGATTATCAGAAAAGAGGAAATAACAAGTGAGCGGAGATAGCGCAGGGTTAGTGGTACCGTCGATCAAGAAGCATCTATTTCGATCACCTCTTCAAAGCTTGCCTCCAATTCACGTTAGAACGCCTCAGGCTGGCTATCTCCAAAATAACGAGGAGAACTGACCCCACCAGTATTCAATGACATCATAAAGAAGGCGAAATCAAAGGAACAGCTGGAAAAATACGTGAAATGTTCGAAGACCATTGTGGATGATGAGTGTGAGGAAAACGAATCGAACGCGAGAAGTTCCGGAAATGCATAGTATATGTGATGACGGGTCATGTAAAAAAAGATAGAACAAGATGTTCCTGTAAAGTGGGAAAGGCGAGAACGTCGCTAAAAAGTCGACCACTCCTGGATTGATTTCCACGCTGTCTAAGTGTAACAGTACAATTGAAACGATGGAAAATGTACGCTGGGTAGAAGGATTGCATTAGATCAGTACAATGTCATCTTGATCATGACACATCCCCAACAGACGAAAATTTGCCGTTAGAAGTAGAGGAGTGAATTTTTCGTGAGTCAATCTGAGAATCAATAGGGAGATCTGTGGCAAGGATGCCACAGAGAAAGTAGGGAAAAAACCAGTGGCGAACTTTCCTTTTGCGAAATCTGATGACCGTTAACTCGCTGATAATGGGCACATAGAGAATTCACAGTTCTACTTTACGACCAACGTCCGTTTCGGCAGGCCATCTTGTGTTGCGGAATTTCCTGTACAGGAACGACAATGTTACTGGATCATCGACAAACATAAGGCAATTCGTCATGTGGAAAACATTCGGGCTAGTGAAACATTATTCCGATAGCAGGTGTGTAAATTAAAAATCGTGAGATTCACATGTACATAAAACGTAGTGGAAGCCAGAGGTGATACGACATTCATCACTCCTAGCACCAACACTGCCATTGTGAATACTTGCCATTTTCGTCGCACAAAATTAACCATTCAAGAACCATTACGAATGCTTAAAGCGACCACATTTTTCAAAAATTTATGCATGACCAGTCATTACAACGACTATGCGGTTTCCAGCACCTCTTGCATCGATTCGTGTCTCTCACAGTCATCGTTCACGAAGGTCCTCGAACATCTCCCGTGTTTTTTCAGCTGCTCCTTAAAGATTTCTTCTCCTTTATGAATGTCGCAGAGTGCTGGAGTCAATACTCCTTACAGCTTTGAAGATAGCCGGACTAACGCGTTCCCACGTGGATTGGAGAAAACTGTATGAGCGCTTAATAAGCATATTGTTTCGGAGGAGAGCCGAAAAATAGAAGCCGCATTGGAAGTCTTTTAAAACGCCTTTTGCGGAGGATTCGAATATTCAAATATCTTATGCAAATATTATAAAATACTCGAAAACAAAGATGGCGTCTGTTGGAGGGAGCAGAAAGTCATTTTTTTAGGATATGTTTATGGCTTCAACAAACATTACTGAATACAACACATCACTTGAATTAACACTAACATTTTTCCCAAGACCGACTTTCTGTTAACCTCGGCATTAATTGATAATTCAATGTTTTTCATCAATAAGCAGACACGAGGTTGTCGATCTCGACCATGTATTACTCTGTGCGGCGGCTATCCACCAACTAATTTAAATACTTACAACAAATAAACAGCTCTGAAGAAGGCGAAACCGCCGAAACGTCAGCAATTGTGTTCTAATAAATTCTATATTAACAACCTCGTGTCTGCTTATTGATGAAAAACATTGAACTAACATTTTTCTTTCGTTATGAACGTAATAGAATTCTGGTAGAATCGACAGTTTCTGGTGTAGTGAGATAACCAAGCCAGAGCATTCCCATTTGGATTGCAAACGATGAATCTTTTCTCAAACAAGTCTGAAATCAGTTTCCAGGCCACGCAAGGATGAATGGGTTAATTTGCCCGGAGTGGGCCCTAACCAGCACTGTATTCGTTATGAACGGTAGCTACCATTGTACTACGCGACTTTACGATGAATTAGAATAAAAAGCTAGTTCGCTCCATATCTGCTATATCTCTTACCAGTGCTCACGCACTATCTACCACACTAACCATCGTCCTTGCTTTGCTTTTATGTCAATAATATTTTCAAATGACGGTACTACCAACAATCACCCGTCAAGTCACGTTGTTTTAGTTTTCATTTACTCTGTATTTTTGACCTTATTCCCATTCTTCCTATTCCTAAGCATGGCTGAGAGAACAACAAAGCACAGGCGTCAGTAGCGCAGTGGACGACACGTGTGTCTCTGGTAAAGGTAACAACTGAAATGACGCTGAGATATTAGCAAAACTCCAGACCGCAGGTGTCTGCTATGAGGAACGAACGCGCTATTGTCCTTTCCGGGGAGTAACGCGTTCACCACCACATCATGCGGGCCCTTCGTTTCTGGTGTCTCTCAGCTAGTTCTATCGATCTTTTGCCATCAGCAATCACCCATCAGCGGAATTGATCTGGGGAGTCCAAATCGGCAACGAACACAGTTAGGCTGAGGCTGCAGTTATAGTTACAGTTTTAACTTATTATTTACTGCCCACTCTTTTTTTAACGGCAGGGTATATATTGCAAAATATAACTTTAATGACGCTGAAATATTAGCAAAACTTCGGACCGCAGGTGAACTAGCTGGGAGACACGCAAAACGAAGGACCTGCATGGTGTGGTGGTGAACGCGTTACTCCCCGGAAAGGACAATAGCGCGTTCGTTCCTCACCGCATACACCTGCGGTCCGGAGTTTTGCAAATATCTCAGCATTATAGTAGTTATAAAAAATGTGCGTTCTAAAACGTTAACTGCTCGAAAGAATCGACGTTGGTTGTCAAGCTCACCTTCACGAAAATTCATGACGGAGTTTTGCTAATAACTTAGCGTCATTAGAGCTATATTTCGCAATATATACCTTGCAGCTAAAGAGCGGGCAGTAAATAATAAGTTAAAAATGGTAACAACTGATTTGAAGCGTACCTTAGGTTTCGAGTTTTGCTGGTTTCTCAGCCTCATTATGGTTGCGTTTCCAGTCGTGCCATATAATAAAAAAATGGGTAGTAAATAAAAGCCATAACATTATAATAGTAGTAATCAAAAACTACCTTGTCATTTTTCCAGTAACAGGGCAAAAAGTGAGATATCTAATGGATAACGAGTAATTCAGTGCGCTGGTAGGGCCCAAATTTTCCCTGTAACTTTTTTTATTGGATTTTTTAAAATGAGAATAGTTTAGATGAGAATCATTCTACGGGTCGTCTTCATTACCGTGTTGACGTTCTCTGACATAACAGATTCTAACGCTGAAACAAACAGCTTCCTCATTGATTATCAATATAGTCAGAAGCCCAGGAAGGCAGAAGCAGCGAAGTTCAAGGTGATGAGTGAGCCGAAACCTTGTACTTTCATTAAAGGTGAACCGCTTTTAGATGGAAAATCAGCATCGAGTTTTTTTTCTCAACAAGATTAACCCAGGATAACGAAGAAAACGTTAACGAAAGATCTTAGTCTATTTGAACTAAAAGAAATTAACCCGAAAATAACACACATTCTTATCCACATTTAGCTCAAGTAAATGATTTAAAATTGATTCATTCCTTTAATAGGTAATCGAAGAGGAACGAGTAATAACGAACAAAATCTGGATATATCAATTTTCAAAATGAATTATGATCAGCACAATGGAAGAATCCAGCTCCAGAGTAACACAGTTCTTACAGAGTAACTTACTAGATATAAACTGCTTCACTTTAGACGCTTCAAAGGTGGTTGGCTGCGTTTGGGAGCCAAGTTCAACAAACCGTTAAAGATGCCAGCGTTCGTACAAAGAGACAAGTGTTGAAGGATAATAATCTAAATTCGACATGGCGTGGTGGCGTCTTCTATACGTTTAATACATCAGGTTAGTTTTCAGAAAAATTTTTTATTTCTAACTGTTCAAAGTGCCTAAGTTTAGTAAAACAGAAACAGAGGAGCGAATTCTATCACTATCGCCTGCGTCTCCTAATATGCGTTGCACAGGACATTCGAATATTCAAGTTTTCTATTCAGACCTAATCGAGTTACCCAGTTGTAAACTCTATTACGCATCGCTAGGCTCAGTTTTTGTTGTAGTA